TTGTTTGATCATCACGCTTAAAGTTTATCATTGAATGCAATTGCATTTTCTGGATATTAATCGCAGATTCCATCCGTTTATTGGTTTGTTTGATCATCACGCTTAAAGTTTATCATTGAATGCAATTGCATTTTCTGGATATTAATCGCAGATTCCATCCGTTTATTGGTGGTACAAGACTTGCAGTCATGCTGCTGAGCTAACAGCAGGATTCCACAACCCTACAAATCAGGATGGTTATTCTTTGGTCTTCGATATGCTCAAGAAACACTCTGTGACAATAAAATATGTTTTCTCTGGACCTCAAGCTTCTTCCTTAGAGAACGATGATGCATTGGCCGATCAAGAAGGTTTAACCTGGCAGGTTACAGACATGATTGTTTCACTTCTGTGCAACTATTTTATCGAGTTTTTTCTCATGTTAACCCTAAGTTCTATCCTATTTCTATATTAGGCCTCCAAATCTTCATATTTGTAATTTAAACCTCAAATCCATGAAGTTGCATAAATTGGGGTGTTATTTAAAACAAGTTAATGGATTTGGGGTTGCAAATTACAAATATGAAGATTTGGTGCAAGATAAAATAGGATACAATTTAGGGTCTAATATGAGGAAAACCTTGTCATCTTAATTTTGGGCTTTTTGTACCTGCTTGATATTATTTAGTTACATCACGTTATCTAATTGTTTAACCATAGGTGTTGAATTCTGCCTGGGATCGAGGCCTTAATGTAGCTGGTCAAAGTGTTCTTCACTGCCATGATAGGGAGGCATGCATTAAAGTCCTCGAAACTGCAAAGCCAAGAAATGATCCTGATCATCATCACCTTACCTTCTTCGCTTACCAGCCCCCATCGCTTGTCTCTGTGCAGGGAGATACCTTCTTGCCTGAACTAGATAATTTCATCCGATGCATGCATGGTAATTATCAAATCACATTTTAGTTGTTGATATGCCCCTGTGCTGGGTTGGTGTAGCCACTTGTAATCCCTAATTTTCTTTTATTACGACTTTATTAGACGGTTACATTTTTGCTTCTTTAGACGGTATTTTAGTTCATTTTCTTGTTAAACCAAGGGAAAAAGTAATTTACAATCGCATGATTTCCACGTGACATCTGAAGCTAACTTGGAAAATAATGTCATTTAGAGACCAATATGTGTGCTAATACTACACCCTCAAAAGTACAAGGGTGTGATTTTAGTCAGAAAACGAGTACCAACATTTCTCTCCTTTGAAATTGGTTTTCTGTTCTAGAAAAATAGTTTATAAGTCGAAATATTCTTATAAGAAATGTTTGCAGGAGAAAATTCTGATTATATTGAAGCTTGATGCACAGATGAAAACCGAGAAAACCATCTAACTGGCGGTAAGGGTACTTGAAAAGCTCGTGCATTCTTTGTTAACAAGGTAAAGAAAACATCGGCATTATTAAGTCCTACGAATTGTTTCCTTTTTGTGCGGACTACTTTTCACTGCTCGTTAACTTTCTTTGAATATGACCCTGATGTATGGACGAGCCTTTAACATGGATCCTCTACTGTATCATTCTCTTGTTAATATATGAGCTTCACTAATACTGATGTACGGCTTATACTTCGTTATTATTGTCTCCATATTCATATTTTTTTTCCCCACCATTTTGTATGTGAAATTGTATTCCAGCTTTCCTAAGTTGCTACGTGCCAACAAGTATTAATCAGCAGGTACTATTTGGATTATAATATCATGATGGATGCGTATAAGAAATAAGCACATACATAATGAGTTAGAGGTTGTTGGTGTTGAATATAAAGTGAAAATGAATGAATAGAGATGGTCTGGTGGTGTGCGATGGAGACCGTGAAATGTACCAATTAAGAGAAGCTGCTCAAGGAAATGATCTTTTAAACGAATTTGTACCTCAAGATCTTAGAACTCGGCTTATAAAATGTTGAAAACTTGTACCCTTTATAAAGAGCAAAATTTTATTTTATTTGATTTTATTTATTTATTTTGGGGACTTAGCCTGGTGTAATTTATATTTCTGAGGAGTTTTTTATACAGTTGTCGCTCCTTTGTCATTTTTAGAGAAAATTGAGTAAGCTACTAAGCTTTTATCTGGTACATGTTGTCCAGGGATTAATCTAGTATTTTATCAAATGGTTGGAATTAGCGAATTATTTTCAAGAATAGAACAGATTATCTTGTAACATTGTTAGAATTTTATGAAATTTAAATTTGAAAAACGTTTTGGTTTAATACCTTTTATATTATTTGGGAGTTATGCAACCTCAGTTAGAGCTTGAAGTGGTATATTTGTGGTTGTAAGTTTTAACAGTAATATGAATTGTGATAATAATGCAGATGAAATTATAGATGATGTGAGAAAACCTCTAAGGTCAATTGATCATTCTCCTTACGAAAATAAATCTGTAATTCACCAGACTTCTCATCTGAACCTATAAAAACTACTAGTTCAAAGATCAGGACGCAAACAATTATCAAATTACTTTCTGCAATAATAGGGGAAAAAATCAGTCTTCATCACTGAACTCCACAACTATCTTGACTGTACTCGAGCAACTGTCAGGAGTTGGTATTCAGGATGGGAATCAGTCAAGTGAGTTGAGAGCTCTGGAAGCTGTGGACTGATACGCAAAGCTAGGGGCTATCACGCAAAGGCTTTTTAGTTCAAGGGTTGTAATAAATGTCTTAGATATTTTTAGTTACAAACAGTTAGCTGTTTGTTGTTTTCCTGTTAATTCTGTTTGTGCACAATTACTGTTCGTGCACGTGTTTGAGCTTAAACTGGATTTGTATAAATGGTAAAATTGTAAACAGTCAAGAGGCATGAATAAAATCAGAACTTTTCTCCTCAACTCTCAATTCTCTATCTCATTTCTCTTTTCATCTTTCTCATGTAACTTTTTCCAATTGAGCTTCAACCTCCATCATGGCTAGAAACGGAGTTCGGAGGATCAACAGGGGTTTGAGAGCCCTCTCAATTGGTATCATAGCAACAAGAATCTGAAGTTGGAGCTGAAGATTTCATGGCCGATCAAGAGGAAGCTTCTGCTGACGAGGCGACTCAAGATGAAAGGATTGCTCGTGTTGAGAACGCGATCACTCAACAGAGTTCATTCAATCAACAAATCAGTTCATTCAATCAACAAATGACTGCAAAGATGGGTGAGTTATCTTCTCAGTTGTAGTTTCTGGTTCAAGAATTCAAGAACTCTAGGGATCTTAACCAAGGAATCTTGGGCTCTAGACCAAATGACTATCATCGGGTCTTGAACTCAGGATCAAGGGAGGACAGGGGCATATCAAGATCAGGAGCTAAAAAATCAAGCAAAAATGATTACAGTAATGACCCCATTTCTCAAAATAGAGGAGATGCTGATTTCAATGGAGAATCTCAGCCAGTTCACAGTTTTGGTAACCTCTCAAACCAAAAGAATTATTTCTTCAGTAATAAAAAACTTGTTCAGTCGAAGTCCTTGCGTTTAGATTTTCCTTCTTTCTCTGATAATGAAAATGTGATAGCATGGTTGGAATAGACTAAGCAAATCTTTGACTATTATGATATCAAGAGTGATGAATGGGTTAAGGTTTGTTCTTTTTATTTGAGGGATGAAGCATTGCAATTGTATAGGTGGCTTACTAGGAATCTTGAAGATTACAGTCATTGGGAAGCTTTTAAAGAAGAAATCATTACCAAATTTGGACCTAGTAAGCTCTCAAGGCCTTATGATGCTTTCTCCTCTATAAAACAAACTTCTACAATTAAAGAATATTTGGGGAGATTTGAACAAGCATTAGGCATGTTAGATGACCAACCCTCTAGGAGACATATTCTTGAGAGGTTCATAGGGGGACTTAAAGATGAACTGAGGTATGAAGTGACGGCTGCCAGGCCAACCTCATTGAAGGGAGCAGTATCTTTAGCAAAATTGTTTGAGGATAAGCAGAAAAATGAAAAGAAACCCAAAAGAAATTGGAATGTTTTCAATCCAGGAGGTTCCCAAATAAGTTCATCTCACAATCCTCCTGTAAGGGAGAACCCCCGTTCTTCTTCTCAATTCAAGAAACTTACCCCTGAAGAGATACAGAGAGGAAGAAGTCAAAACTTATGTTTTACATGTGATGAGAAATGGTACAAGGGACACCAGTGCAAGGGGAAACAATTGTTCATTTTGGAGGGAATCCTGGAAGGAGGTATGGAGAGGAGTGTGGTTGACTCTAGAGAGGAAAGGGAAGATCATTTGGCAATAGAGTTAGCTGAAAACTTGGTGAAAGGGGCTCCCTCTATCTCAGTACAAACACTCAGTGGAATTACTACTTCTCACACTATTAGGGTGGTAGGCTATTACAAAATCAATCCATTAGTATCCTAATAGACTCTGGCTCAACACATAATTTATTAATGCAAAACTGGTTAAGAAACTAGGGCTGGCAGTAACAGAATCTAACAGTTTTGATGTCTTAGTAGCTAGTAGAGAGTTAATAAAAGGGGGTGGAGTGTGCCAAGAAGTGTCCTTAGATTGCCAAGGGGTGAATATTCAAGTCAATCTGTTGGTAATGCCTATGGGAGGTAGTCAGATTGTATTAGGAGCTGACTGGATGAAGACTTTGTAGGATCTGAAATAGATACACTAGAACACTAAAGGGGGGTGAATAGTATTCTTTTAAAATTTATGCAATGTATATTATAAATTGTAAAGAAAAATGGTAATCTCAGAAATTCACAAACACAAGGTTTTATACTGGTTCCACCAATCCGGTGTACATCCTGTCCCCAAGCAAATCCCGCTTGAGGGTTTCCACTATGATTTTGAATAAACTTACAAAAGCAAAAGCAAACCTGACCAATTTACAAGTCCCTACAAATTACAACACCAATTGACAAACACCTTACCAATTTGCACACCAATCTCTAAACCAAGAGATTAACATCTCGCACAACTTGAGAGAACTTTTGAAGCAACAATTCCAATTCCTATAAGCCTTGATTTGTAGTGTAGTGTAGTAGTGGCCTAGGAATGATTCTAACTTCTATAAATTACCTAAACAATAAGTATTTGAATAATGTTCAGAGGCAATTTCAGAAACTTTTCTTTTTCTCAAAATCTGAATATTTTTTACTTAAAAAAATGCACAAAGATCAAAGCTTATGGGTATGTAAGTCTCTGCATTTTTCTGAACAGATAACCTATTTATAGCCCTTGAAAAGATAATTTTTTTGAACTTTAAAAACGTTTAAAAACGGCTATAAACAGTCATAAATTCAAACTTTGAATTCTGAAAAAACTGTATCTATAGTCGACTACACTGAGTTTAAACAGACTCTGTGTATCCAGAAAATTTTTCAGTAGTTGACTACAAAGCTCATTAGTCGACTACACTGTATTTTGACAGAAACTTGAAAAAGTAATTTTTCCTTCAGTAGTCGACTATAATGTTGATTAGTCGACTATACTGTAAAATAACAGAAACTTATGTTTCTGTCAAACACTTTAGTAGTCGACTATAATCCATATTAGTCGACTATACTGTAAATTCACAGAAACACATATTTAAGTTTTATACACGAGTAGTCGACTACTATTCTAATTAGTCGACTACTAAGAGTAAAAAAATATGAACTAAAAAGTTTTTATACTCAAGTTTTAACTATAATTCTAATTGTTAACATAGGGGATTTCTATAGTTAACCAACACACTAAGCCTGTGTTAGTGTGTTCTAATATTGTGTGTGTGTGTGTGTGTGTGTGATCAAGGCTTGTACAATAATTCTAAGTAAAGAAAATGTAAAATACATTATCTCATATGTTCTTCATCTTCTTCACTTCATAATGCCTTGAAATCAACTTGCACTTGTTCATATTTTGATATTGAGATCTGCATATAAAAGTTAGCGCATTTGTATAACACACATTATATAAATTGTTATCATCAAAATACTATCATGGAGATATGATATTCAACAGACTTTAGAGGATATTACTTTGAATTTCAAAAAATTACAGGTGGCATTCATGAATGATGGAGTTAAAAGGACTTTGCAGGGAGTGTTTCCAGGTGAATTGCAGTTGGTTAACAACAAAATATTGCCAAAACATTCAGAGAACAGGAACAAGGATTCTTGATTCAGCTGTGTAGTGTAGGCTTACAAGGGTGCACAACAGAGGGTATACCTGAGGAGTTACCTGCAGATATGCAAGAATTGATACAAGAGTTTAAGGTTGTATTCCAAGAACTACCTCATCTTCCTCCTAGCAAAGATATAGAACATAAAATTCCACTAGAAGAGGGTACAAAACCAATTTGCATCAGACCCTATAAGCATGCACATTTCTTAAAAGATGAGATTGAAAAACAGGTGGAAGAGATGCTTCAAAAGGGCATCACCAGACCCAGCAATAGTCCTTTCTCTTCACGAGTGGTCATGGTAAAGAAATGTGATGGTAGTTGAAGGATGTGTATAGATTACAGATATCTAAACCAAGCTACAATCAAAAATAAATTTCTCATTCCTGTCATAGATGAGTTGTTGGATGAACTACATAGAACACAATTTTTCACCAAGCTTGACTTAAAATCTGGTTATCATCAAATTAGAATGTATGAGCCAGATATTCCAAAAACTACTTTCAGAACACATAGTGGCCATTTTGAGTTTATGATCATGCCATTTGGACACACCAATGCTCCTTCAACCTTCCAGACTCTTATGAATGCTATA